GGTGTCGGCACCCAAACGCCACATACAGTAGGTAGGCTAGCTCATGAAATGTCATCCGAAATTCCGAAATGCGTTTTCGTTCCGAAAAGATTAATTAAGTAGGGTTGTAAAACTAGTCAACCTGTAACATAATTCTATAATATTTCAGTTACCTCTGGATGTCGGCTTTCGAACGAACTTCCTTCAGGCTGCATGCAAAAACTACACTCTGCAAAAAGCGACTACTTAATTAGCATGAATTTTTCTCATTGATTTTCGATGTCCCTAAAAGTCCAATTATATTGCATGGAAAACATGCATAACAATATTCATTCTTTGGCTCATTCGGTAGACAATTACGTCTTTTTCTAATTTTATACTCGAAGGAGGGACATTAGTCGGTTTTAAAAAAGTTTCTAATTGTGGAACTTTTAAATATCGTGAGGCCGTTCATAAATCGTCATATCTCTGCATTTACCAATGCGGCTTGTACAGTTAACAATATGGATCAAATCCACTGCTTAGTGTTATGAACCCTATATGGTCCTCCTTTATCACCGTAGAGAAATTTGTGGTTTTCCGTACGCAGAAAATATACGGCTTGAGTTTGGAAACCCGAATCCAAGTGTAACGGTAGAGCGGGTTCAAAATTATTCGGGAATTGGAAAAGTTTTTGAAAACCGAATTATACCCTTCCTTCGAGCATAAGATTAGAAGAAGACGTAATTGCCTACCGAATGAGTGGGAGAATGAATATTGTTATGCCTGTTTTCCATGAAATATAATTAGGGGCATCTAAAATTAATGAGAAAATACATGCCACTTAAGTAGTCATTTTACAGAGTGTAGTTTTTGCATGCAGCCGGAAGGAAGTTCTTTCAAAAGCCGGCCTCCCGAGGTAACTGAAATATTGTAGAATTATGTTGCAGGCTGACTAGTTTTACAACCGTACCTAATTAATCTTTTCGAAACGAAAACGCATTTCGAAATTTCGGTTGACATTTCATGAGTTAGCCCACCTACTGTATGACCTGGCTGCCTGCTGCTTACTGACTTATGCTCGCACGCGCTTGGTGAACGGGACTGCGACCCGGTGATTCTCGGACGCGCGTTAACACCAGACGCCTTGAGTTCGGGGGCGTCTCCACAGAAATGAATGCTTCTAATCACACCCCTTACGTCCTGTTGTTACCCGCATGCAGGCCTTGAAAGACGTACTTTCCTAGGGACTGTCTAGGCAACAATCATTTGTAAATTCCGGAGGGCTACCTTCGTTTGAAACATATAAGCAACATGAAGCACTGTTTTCCCGGAATAAATTTGAATAAGGTAAAGACGACAAAACATGCAGGACTTAATGACGTCACAAACTTTCGTGAGCTCTTATTCAGCTGCACACGGTCATTGCGTATTTACAAGACAAGGTAAACTGTTCAATCAGAAATCGACCTTGAGAGATTAAACGTGATAGGTTAGATGCAACGTGGACTGTTGGCCTGATATGCGGCTGTGCATGTCTAGAAGGGCGAGGGAGGGAGGTAATCTAAGCAAAAGAGTTCAAATTACAGGAAAACTCGTCGAGTGTGATTAAAACTGCAGCGCGCGGTATAGCACTCGTTCATGTGGAGGGGGTGCAGAGTGAGAGGACAGATACGGGAATGGGGTTACGTCCATTATCGACCCTTATCATGGCAGTGCGAGGTTGACCATGTGATCCAACTCCTTACAGAATCCTGGGTTCCTCCTTCATATTGCAGCGGCCTTTGCAAGGCGTAAAAGACGCCCAGTCGTCGCCCGAAGCACAAATTTGTTTGAAGTGAATGCACACCTCAAATCGGAATTAAATATCAAGTCAGCATCCATTTGTTTTGTCAATGCTCCGTTCGATCAGCGGCTGGTCGGATCTTATTTCGTAGCCGTACCTAAAATAGACAAGTCCTAGCCTAACCTCTAACAAGTACGGCTACGAAATAGGATCATGTCCAGCGGCTTTTTCGATTTCCAAAAAAGATCGAAAGAATGGAATGATTCGTACTTTTGCAAAAATTGGCGGTGATTGTAGTTTCATCAGAAAATGTTTGCACCTGCGTTGGGAGCCGTCATGGTAGAACGGCATTCACTACCGGATTTGGATTTTAAGACAGAAATGGGCACTTCCAGTTTACTAGGAGCTCCCAGTTTTAGGCCTTCAATTGTAATTGCGCATCAACCAGCAATCAATCATTGAGAAATGCTATTGACCCAAGAGCGAGGACACCCGACCGACCGTTTCTGGCTTCATAGCCATCAGCAGTTCGCAAAATTCAGACTTCAGGTGTAGACGTTCGAGGGTCAATATTGTCTTACGCAAAATGCTCTGGATTCAGTAACATGTCTCGGTAAACAAAAGCACGTCATGTGTGGACCGGCCAATTCTATTAATTTATGTGTTATGTGGGTGCCTTCTCGAGGTATTTAAAATTCGTCCCGTAATTTGAAGTTGGATATGTCGTCCTTCGAAAAGAACTTTAAAAATTTCCATTAGGTCTGAGGTAAATTAAAACTGACCAAACAGCTAGCTGCTTGCCAATTTTAAGCATCTAGACTGCTCGTTCCAAATAACAGAATACAGAGGATGCCCAGAAGACGATGAGGTCGTGAAGAGGACCTCCCGGAAGAATGTTTCATTTGCCCTACGTGCAAACTCCCACGCCAGTCCATCCTTAAAAGGAAATACGATTATAGCCCCATGAATGTGTAAGCCACCCTCTCCGAGGATAGCTCTCAGACATCCCATTGATTAGCTCCGTATTGTCCGATTTGCTGGCGGCCGATTAGCTGTCAAATTCACAAACCTAATATGGAATAATTTTCCCAGTAAATTGTGTAGAAACATTAATCTTTACCGAGATAAGGGGTAGAATCTCGCTCCAGATATTTCGGTTCCAGCTTGTATGTGCCGATAACAAAACTTACAGTGAGGCAGAGACTTCATACTAATTGGATTAAACTGATTAACAGGTTTATCAGCAGAATGGTATTACCGACAAAGACAAGGGAGACTGGAATGACCATTTCTGCCTTATTAGTCGTCGTCAGCCAGCCATACCCAAGCCCGAAGTGTGGAACACCCGAGCCTCAAACTCGCGACCTGTTAGTTTAGAAGTCCACGCCTCTACCCACCGGGCCACGAGCCCGTTGCCCTGTCGGTTTTCGATCGGGAATATACAATGTTATGGGGCGCTCACCGATCGTTCATACGGAACTCACTCGTTCCGTTAAGCACTAAGGTAAGGTTTATCAGCACTCGAATGACCATCTACTAGCCGGTTGGATTTTGGTCCTCATGTTTCACCAATTCCTTTACCTGTGATATCTCAAAGTGTGAATGTGCTTTGAGTCCCTGATCATCAAACTGAATAAGAAGGAAGACGCCGCAATGCAGAGTTTATTCTGTTATAACTCGGAGTTGCTGTCGCAGGCAAAAAAGACTGCTGGCATGTGCCGGCAACCGTGAAAGTTGTTGCCTTTGGGGAAGGCGGCTTTTATGGTTTCGTGAGGACAAGCTTAAGTGGCTTGCGTCCAAATGGTGGAACGTTGGACGTCGTCCCACCGGTAGGGGAGGGTGCGTGACGTTATGGCATTGACGGTGCTGGTCACTGTGGTGAACGCAGGGGTTAGGTCAAGACAAACCAGTGCCTGGAGCACTCGCATACATTGTCCATATCGCCCCCGCACATTCACTCACCGCATAGGCCTTCTTGGACACATGCGTATTCACGACTGCTGAATTCACCGCACTACCCACACACCTCGCATACCTTGCACGCCCATCATGCCGAGCTCAGCCTGCATCCCGTCACCCAGCGTACACTCTGCCGCCGCCGCCGCCGCCGCCACCACCACCACCATCACCACCACCACCACCACCACCACCACCACCACCACCACCACCACAGAAACCGACTCTGACACTCCTGATCAGTTCTGTCTACACTGTCCCTGTGCATTCACCCCACAAATCGGCCTGGTCAGTCGCTTGCGAATCCATCGCACAGAGACGGGCGAACCAGTGCCTGGGGCACTAACAAACACTCGCCGTATCCGCCTCATCAGCCTTCACTGCCCCTGCACATTCAGCCGCCACCTACTAGGTCGCATGCGCATTCACGAAAACCTGCTGTAGATCACCATCGGCTACACCACACCATCGCAACTTCTCCGCCAGGACCTGTACCACACAACAACATCACCCATCCCAATGCAACGCAAAGCACACAATTGTTTTCTCCCACACGAGTGGGAAGTGTGCTTCTCGGCTCCGTCTCGATGGGGCTCCTCTGCTGCATGCGGGATGCGATTCTGAGACTACTACGGTGTGCCAAGTGCCGTGGCTTGGAGGGATGCCGACTGACGCCTCAACTCACTTAACGCAGTCTGCCTGGCAGACGGATGGGCTGAGAGTCAATTTGAAACGAATCCTTCTTAATGTAACCGCTGGCACTTAGGGTGGTGGCCAAGGCTAAGTGCAGAGCTGAGTGCCACCCTTCAGGGTCTTAAGGATTATATGCGTCTGCTATGCCATGACTCAGCAAACCGTGGATCTCGCAGCCTGGTGTGCGCTGGCGTCTGGTTCCTTGCCGGCAGATTCGCTTGCGCCCCCACTGGGTCGTGTGCATGGCTGCCGAGTATTCTTCCTCTTCCTGTTGTCTTTGGTTGAAATCCTGGTCGGACGTTTGTTCTGGACCAGGGACTATGAAGTGGTACGTCCAGCTGCGGGTCCGGTTGTATCAGCCACCTGCTCCCGCTTCCTTCCTCCTCCTCCCCCTCCTCCTCCTCCGGCCTTCTTGACTATGTCTTGACACCGAGTCCGGGTGGGGAGGAGGAGAGGGTGAGGTGGATGCTGCGCAAGTCTACTCTCACTATAGGTTTATGCACGTGCAATTAACCGTGCCTGTTCTTAGCCTGCTGTGCAGCACACGGTGGACATCGTCGGGTATGACGGTCGAGCTGACCTGTTTGTGCACGCTTGTCACAATCGGTCACACAACTAAATGGCCGAGTACTTATCACGCCAATAACCAGCACGAGCAATGGGACTCTGACAAGCAAGTCATAAAACCATCATCGTACCAAGTACATCCATCTGTAATGAATGCAGAAGTTGCTAATTTGTGTGGGCATGCGGTCGTATTGCAACTACCACCTGTAAGTACTGCGGCCATTATGCCTTCATCTATTGCGGTCTCTGATAACGGATTCGAGTGCTAATCCAAAACGTTACACGAATAAGACAATCCTGTCTCCTCCCTCTCATCTGCCTTCTGGAACTCACTGGTTTGCTTACACTGATTGTTGAAGTAACTCGCCAAAATTCACGAGGAATGTCCAATAACATTGAAACCGGTCCACTAACATTTAAATATGCAGAAAGGATGAACACGCGGTCATTGGGACGATAGGTCTATTAGATCAAGTTTTCGGACTCGTACATGAGGTCATCACCTGAAAGATCATCGGTTAACAGAAAATACGAGAAGTTATTTAAAGTTGCACCAGTCTGGTCAAACATAAAATTTTTGGGAAAATCAGGAATGGGATAAACGCAGAGAACCACGGTAAATAAATAAACTCATTTTTAAAGTACTAAATATATGTCCCCCAAAAATTTAATAAGACAGAACGAGCAAAGCAGCTCTCAAGAAATCCGTCTAGATAATTCTAGGCGTGCGAGACAACTGATTGGTGTTTAGCAAAACTTGTTAGAATAGTGCGCGTGATGTACTATCGAAGTGTTTGATTTTTATATTTTTCGCTTGGCACTGGAAACGAGGCCAACATTAGTTGAGCATAGAGAAATGTTAGCATTTGAAAAGCTTGTGAAAAACACTGCTAAGTAATGCGTATTTGTCGGCGCCTTGTCTTTGTCAGTAACTTTTTGCAGTATTATTTACGTCGCAGTTACTTTTGGACAAAATAGAGAAGTTGATTTCGCCCAAGTCACCTGCATCAGATGAGATTTCAAGGGCGTTCCTACGCCAACTAACTGAAAGGTCATCCGAAGCACTGTGTATCATCTTCCCAAGATCGCTTAAAACTGTTAAACTTCCCGACACACGGCAACTGACAAACATCGCACTCATCCATAAGGGATGATCGCGGCTATATCCCACCAACTACCGACTAATGGGTCTGAAATGCATCTGCTGTAAACTGATTGAGAGGGCAGCTAAAAAATCACTTATATCGCTTGATACATTCCCCCCGTCAGATCAACTCAGCTCATCATTGTTTCTAAGAGAAAAGGTTCTTCATCAAAAACCCCCTTGAATCGCTCGAACGCTGGTCAAAGTCAGTGGACGAAGGACATCTAGTTGATATCATCTGCTCTGACTTCGACAAGGCCTTTGATAGCGATCAACAAATCGCCTCATCAAAATATGTCGAGCTTAGGCATATAAAGGGGCCTTCTGAACTGGATTCAAGATTTAATAACTGATCTTAGACTTAAAGTTACCGCGGATGACTGCTGTTCAGAATGGGCGTCTGTAAATGCACATAATGCTAGCTGAACTAAGAAGAAATATACCTTCACGATGTATCTTAAAAAACCAGATAATTAAGACCTTACATGCGCAAAAAGACCTTGAAGTATTAATTGAAGACGATTTAAGCGTCACAACACAGTGTTCTAAAGTCTCAGTGCGGGCAACCTCAACCATAATGTCAATACACAGAACGTTTGTAAAGCCGGATGCGTAAATCTCCGGTAAGGTATACAAAGCATTTGTGCGGCCACGTCTGGAATATGCGGTAAAGATTTTGCGGCCGTGGCTTCGGAAATACACAGATATTCCCGAATATGTACAACCAGGTGCTATAAAGTCTGTTCCTGAACTCAACAACTTGGCGTACACACAGCGCCCGACCGCCTGTAACCTCTACGTAGTTCACTATAGACAAGACAGAGGTGACCCTAAACTAACGTTTTGGCTGTTACGGGAGCTTGACTATGATGTAAACTGGAGAAATCCTTTAGAAATGACATCGGTAATGCCCTTCTGCCTATATCATGCGCCGCTGTGCCGCTGCTGGTTGGGCTCGGGAGAGAACCCGTAAGGCACAACGGAACGAGTGAGTTCCGTAAGGACGATCGCTGAGCGCCCCCTACCATTTTATATTCCCGATCGAGACCGACAAGGCAACGGGCTCGTGGCCCAGTGGTTAGAGGCGTTGACTTCTAAATAACAGGTCGCGAGTTCGAGCCTCGGGTGTCCCACACTTCGGGGTTGGGTATGGCTGGCTGACGACGGCTAATAAGCCAGAAATGGCCATTCCAGTCTCCCATGTCTTTGTCGGTAATGCCATTCTGCCGAAGAGGAATCTTCGATGCCTTAATCGCAAATTTAAAATGGAACTGTGCCGCGCCAATCGATGTTTCTTCCTTTCCTCGCAGTCATTCGGCAGTGAAATTCTTATGCATCTCGGTTGCTGAAATTAACTGTAAATTGTTGCTACTTAACTGCTTTTTATACAAACTTCTCTTATTAAATAGAGTTTCAAGAACTCCGGTCAGTTACTCCAAGTGAACTAATTTGATTTGACGTTGATTAGAAATGCCAGAAAATATATACTAGTAATTTTGTTTGAAACCATCCGTTTCATTTTAGAGGGAATTACGAATTTTGCGGAATGTTGCAGTTTGAACAATAGCTGTATTTTACATGCTGTGCCGCAAAATCCAAGCAGCATTCTTAATCGTCCTCTCTGTTTCAAAAATACACGATATGACATTTTCCCTGAAAGCAAGTAACCTCATGCTTTTCTAATGTCCATCAAATAAAGTTACATATAGGATGACTCAGAAGTAACCTGGCCGTCAAAAGGCTCTTAGTCCGTACGAGGAAATTCATTTATATTCACGTTATACATTAATAAAACAAACACACCTGAAACAAAAGTCACTTAGAGCGTAACTGGAGTAAGCGCTCGAAATGCGACTGCGTTCTTCAGTGCATTTAGAAGTGATACGATGAACAGAGAAGCACATAAGTTGGCAAACTTTTTCGTCGATTTTTGTACAGGGCTCCGCTATCCTTGCGACAAGTCGCTTAATAGTTCTCGGTTTTTCAGCGTAAACAGAATTTCCCAAAAAAGAAAGTCAATAGGTGAAAGATTAGATGAACGAGGAGGATACCCAGTAGAACCACAACGCCAAATCCGTTTGTGTGGAAAGTACTCATTAAGTCAGTCGCGTGCAACAGGGCTGTAATTAAAAGGTGCACCGCTAGGCAAATGTTTTACAACTGGTTTTTGAGAAATGTCAGGTTCATGTAAAGGTCGTCTTGTGGACTTTCGTGGACTGCGAGCAAAAGCAGTTTCAGCAGTTTCATTGTTTTCAAAATTACAAACAAACTTTCGTCTTCCAGGTCTTGAAGTATCTTCGCATGAAACTATTTATTTTCAGTGAAGATTGAGACCGGATGTCGTGTCTCCCCTTAATGTGTGATTAAATTTTTCTTGAAATCGGCTAAGTGCCTTACTGTTGTTGTCTGTTTGGTAAAACGTTTTTACAGCGAAGACACGTTGTTCAGTTGTCAGTCGTTGATTTTTCTTCTTTGCCATTACTGGTGCACGATTTTTTAGAAACATAAACATATAAACGCAGATTTCTAACGAGAAAATCACTCACTCAATTGACAGCGTTAAGAGGTACTCGTACAAATTACTTCGACTAAAAATAGTCGCCTATTTTCTCGGCCGTCTATATAGCTACTACTGAACCTAAGAATAAGCGTTCATTGACTGTACGGTTATTTTTGACTCCACCTGTATATTGAACGAACTGCGTTCTTTGGAAACGGAAACAAATAATGTTTCTTAAATTAAATCGCCGGAAAAGCATGACATTAACCCTGGCGACAACTAACAGTACTAATGATTATGCGAAAAGACTCAAATAGTCCCGTAATACAAACCTTTATAAAAATCAAAAACCTTCCTTCGATCAAGTCCCATACTAAAAGAAAATCAAATTTCCTATAAAAGCAGCCAAAAATTACCTCTTAATGCATCCCTTCCAGAAGTGTATAATGTCGAAAAGTTTATTAAAATCTTCAAGCCACTTTATTCATGGTTTTCGGACTGTTGGCTATAGAGATAGATGGGAAGATGCTCATTCCGGAG